ACACACACACACACACACACACACACACACACACACACACACACACACACACATAGAGTCCCACACACACTTTGTGGACTTCCCCATGGATTCCCTCTCTCTGCTGCTCATCTTGGACAATTGTCGGCCTCTCTCTCTCTCTCTCTCTCTCTCTCTCTCTCTCTCTCTCTCTCTCTCTCTCTTGTGTAAGCTTTCCAGTGTTTCCACATTGGAAGACCCTCATGACAAGTGATGCTCCAGAGAAGAAGAACAAGTGGATGCATAGTTGAGTGCAGCTCCTCCACGCAGAGGCACATGTGAAACATTCATCTCTGTCTGCACACAGATCCAAGGTTTGAAAACTCCCTCGCTGCCACACTTAAAACTGCCAGAGGTGTAGTCTTGGGCGGAATGAATCACTGTTGTTCAAGATTTAACTTCGGGATCCCGCATCCATGTTCTTGCCACAGTACGTGATTCCGGACAGGCACGAGTTCCGCGGCGGTGTCTGTTTTGACAATTACGTGGCCCGCCAAGCTCGGCATTTGTGCCCATTTTGATACACATGTTGCGCATTGCTGCTACACGCCCAACGACTCTGCACACAACTATACTTCCCAGATAGCTGCTGAAACTCAACACATACATTCACCAGACACCCGTCAAAGAGTACTACTTTACATTCAAATGAAAGGAGAGACTGACCTGTGCAAATCTAGGTGGGGATGGCAGCGCACAACTTGATGCGGACATATTAGGAAAACAAACATCTTCAAAACCGACGTCTATCCATGGCGCAAGAGACAGGCCCATGTTGTCCCTGTTGTCCGTGTTGCCCTGGTCTCGACAAAATGACGAGTAGCGCCCATGCCGACAAGTCTGTGTGCAACGAACGAAGACCACATATGTCGTCCCGCTCTACTTGACACTGCCTTCTGTCGAAATCGCCATCCCTTGTCTTCCTTCAGTGTCTCAATGAAATTAGTAGTCCATGCCCCCAGGGCCCAAGCCTGTGTGACGAGGAGTCGAGAGGACCACCACATGTCTTTTCGCATCTCCTTGAGATGACCCTTTTTTTTTTCAGCAAGGTCATCGTCTCGTCTTTTCCTTCACTGTTCCGATTTCCTCCTCTTTACCCCCTCCCTTGACATAGCCTCCTCTCGTCAACGGGGTGGGTCATCCTCTTTAAGAAGCAGACAATCTACTTGCAGAGACCATGCAGATATAAACTGTTGGTAGAGACATGGATGGGATTTGTGGGGACCACCACCAGTCAGGAGGGAGGGATCCTTCTTTCCGTAGCGAGATATTGCTTCCACGTTCGGTCCATCTGCCTCCGTCTTGAGTGATGGGATGTGAATATTGGACCTGTGCATCCTCATTTCAGTCCGCGTGCCATGCTGCGTAGAGTCCGCTGTTCCTGTCGACAGTACACCGCACAATATCAGATTCGTCTTATTGCCGCAGAGTCATCTATTGCTCCATTCACGACCGTCATGACAACTTTTCCAGGTGAGGCAGGCCACAGTGAGTGAGGGATACCATCAACCAATTCGCTGTGGTCTGACCTGTGGTTGCGATGTGCAGCCGCCCTCTTCAGATCATCCCGGTGATTGGAGATGACACCATGGTTGGTGTGAGGCAGTGGTGGTGGCGGATTGACTGCCGGCCGCTTCCTTGGGGGCCCATCATGAGGTATGATCCTCATTGCGAACTTGAATGCGAAGGGACTGATGAGTAGGCTCAGCGCTGTTGTGCCCATTAACAGCAGATAGACACCTGAGGAAACCAGCTTAAGTCGTCGGGCGCGGCTCAAGAGAACAAAGGACAGTTCTCCGATTTGTGCCAGCGCTATTCCAACACTCAGCGCCGTTCGCGCCGAATACCCGAACAAGCGCACCTACCACACACAAAGCAAAAACCATAGTGAGTACTACTACTACTACTACTACTACTACGTCGAAAGGACAAACATACAAAACACAAACACAATGAAGCAACATGTTCAAGAAACACTTGTTTGGAAGTAACAACGAGTGAAAACACTGAAAAGGAAACACCCCAAACAAAATGGACCTGACCCAGCAATGCAGTGGAAGAATAAGCAAAATGAGCAAATGCAATCAGACGAATACCAACATACCGACGGGCCTAGCTCAGTTGGTTAACCGATAAACTGTCGAAATAAAGACTCCTCAAGTTTGTATGCAGATGCAATGACATAAATAACAACATACCGACGAGCCTAGCTCTATGAGCTGTCGAAAAATAAAGACCCGACTTCGAATCCAGATGCAATCAGATAGGTAACAACATACCAAAGGGCCTAGCTCAGTTCGTAAACCCTAAACTGTTGAAATAAAGACTCAAGTTTGAATCCAGATGCAATCATAAGTAACAACATACCAACGGGCCTAGCTTGATGAGCTGCCGGGGAAAAAAAAAAAAAAAAAAAAAAAGACTCGAGTTCGAAATCCAGATACAATAAGATAGATAACAACCCACCAAGATAACAACATACCAATGGGCCTAGCTCGATGAGCTGCTGAAAAAAAGACTCCAGTTCGAATCCAGATGCAATCAGATAAGTAACAACATACCAACGTGCCTAGCTTGATGAGCTGCCGAAAAAAAAAAAAAGAGACTCGAGTTCGAAATCCAGATACAATAAGATAGATAACAACCCACCAAGATAACAACATACCAACGGGCCTAGCTCGATGAGCTGCTGGAAAAAAAAGACTCCAGTTCGAATCCAGATGCAATCAGATAGATAAAAAGAATCAAATACTCTGAATAAAAAAGGAGGGGGGGGGGGGGGGGGGGGGGGGGGGGGGGGGGGGGGGGATAGATAACAACGCATCTGCAGAATGAACCACAGGGGATGGTATCACACAAATCCACAGACGGTCTAAAAAGCAAGTAAAACTGACAAGGGTACCCTACCGTCTTCACCCGAATAAAACGCCCGGTCATTACAGACGTATCTGGTGCAATTTCCAGTCCACATACGGCTATCATCACTGGGCGTTCTATTCAGGTGAAGACCGTAGTCAACCCAACGTTGAGTCATTATCAGTCTGTCAAGGTGTCCACCAATCAAAAAACAGCGACGGCCTTACGATATCATCGGTGAACTGCATGGCCTCAGGTAATTCCGAATGATTTTATTCTGGTCATCTGATTGTATCTGGATTCAAACTTGGGTCTGATTCATATTTCAGCAGTTCGCAGGTTTACCAACTGACTGAGCTAGGCCCGTTGGTGCGGTCTAACAGGCCTGACCTTTGGTTTGAACTTTGAAACGAATATCGGACAGCTTTGATCCCACTGCTAAGACCTCCAGTACACCCGGGCCTGCAGGCCGCTTGCCGTGTGCCAAGGTTTTCCGAACCGCCAGCGGCGGCGCACTTTTTTCTTTTTTCTTTTTTCTTTTTCATTTTTTTTTCATTTTTTTCTTTTTTTCTTTTTTTTCTTTTTTTTTCTTTTTTTTCTTTCTTTCTTTTTTTCCCTTTCTTTTTTGGCTGGCCCCGCTGGTCATCGTGGTCTGGTACACCGAGCCTCCGAATTTCTCGTATAGGCTACGCGCTTCTTTTTCAGCAAGGCTGGGACCGTGCACTGGTGGTTTACGAAGAGTTTCTGAAACTGAAATGAAGGATGGAACTTAAGATCATTCCAAAACATTGCAACCTTTTTTCCTTTGAACATACTTTTGAAATGCATTGCAGGATGTCAAAGTAGGAGGATTTTGTACCGATTGCCATGCAGAGAATTTTGTACAGACTTTGATGTATTAAAGTCTGAATGCTGCTTCACCAACAGGGCATTGGAGGAAGAGGAGAAGAACAGAATCCTTTTTTTTGGAAAATTGAAAATTCAAAATTTCTCTTCATTTTGTTTTCAATTTTGTTGGGACCACCTCTTTTCCGTCTCTTGCCGAGGAAAGACTGGAGAGAGATACTTACTACAATTGCAACAAGGGCAGTTTTGCCGAGGAATACGATTGCCAGTGCCGATGACAGAACAACTTTGTGGTCCCATAAAAACCTTGGCTGCATTAGCATTCCAATCGATGACAAGAACAGTGCTGCAAAGATGTTCCGGATCGGATCGATCTGGTGCAGAGTTCGTTCATTGTGAGGTCCACCTGTAAAAAACACAGAAAGAGGGAAGGGAAAAAAAAAAAAAGATCAGAAGGGAGGACAGGGGGTGGGAAGGGAGGGAAACAAGGAGGACAGAAGTTCAGGAGAGGGTGAAGAAAACAGAATATAGCAGAAGGTAACAAAAGGGGGGAGAAGACAGGACAATGGAAGAAAACATTGGGGGCAGAGAGAGAGAGAGAGAGAGAGAGAGAGTGCAGAATGTTGCAGAGGGTAACAAAATGGGGAGAAGAGAGGACATGCAAGAGAACATTGTAGAGAGACAAAGAGAAGAGAGCAGAATGTAGCAGAGGATAAGAAAAGGGGAGAGAAAAGAGGACAACGCAAGGTGTGTGTGTGTGTGTGTGTGTGTGTGTGTGTGTGTGTGTGTGTGTGTGTGTGTGTGTGTTTTAGATTTTCCCCACAACAGCCCCAATTCCACCCAGGTGAATAGATTCAGAATCAAAGCAGTCTTTATCCTATTGCAGACAATGAGAGCATTTGAGATGTCCAACATATTAAAGCAATTTTATAATTAGACAGTTTTTTGGTT